TGAACTTCAGCTGAGGATCACTATGAAAACGAAAAAGAGATCATATTTTTTTGTCTTCGTTCGGTTACAAATACAACCAAGAGTCCAAATATCAAATAATATTTCATACTTTTTTCACAAATCACGTGACATGACTTTAAAGCTGCAGTTTTTCTGCATAGGTTTTGCACACGTTTTTCTGAAGTCAAAGACTGGTGCATTCAAACATCTGAGTGACTTTGTATTGTGAGCATATGAAGTCCTTCAACCTGTGGGGCTGTCAAAATAAATTTGTCATGCTTACGTCATCAGGGTCCACATGACATGAGATTAAAGTCTTATCCAAATCCTACGGAGAAAGACTTCAGTTTTCAGTGGTTCGCCTGGGGATTACTGTGAAAATTTCAGACAATCAGAGGAAACTTTCCCTTACAAAAATGATGAAGTGGAAAAAGTCCAAAACAGCTCTGTGTTTGTCCACAAACACATCTTGTCTCACTTAGTTCAGTTTCAGTGCTGCATTTGTAATCAATTTCACCTCAAAGTTACAAATAATCTTGAAACAAATCAATGTAATACATTTCATGCATCAGTAATCTCTAGGGTCCTTGTTTATTGTGTGATTGATAGCTCTATGGTATACATGTAATCCCCTGCCATAGCCCTGGCGTTCATCATTTGATGAATTCATTATTTGATGCTCATGTTGTACATATGTAGTGTTTTCCCTGTCTGTATTTTGTTGTTTCCTCATTTGTATTGGTTGGTTTGTTTCTTGTGATGGCGTGCTTGACACAAGCTTTGCTCTCAAGGCTTTGCCTCCTTTAGTGCCCTATTATCTCATACATTCAAATCTTCAAAGCTTCCAATCTTACTAATGTCATACATTGTTAATAGTTACATTTTGCCATGAGGAAGACATAAATGTAATCTAATTGAATTGAACACTGAGAGGCCTACAAGCCCTGTGATATAAACCATGGGCTTACACACAGCACTTGCGGATTTTACGTGATCCTGCCTGTAATTGACCCAACCAAAATATGAGTTGAAATTCTGCAGCTGTGTGGTTCCTTACTGAGTTCTAGAGTTCAGTAGAAATCAATGTCGTTAAATTAAGTTTTCACCCAAATTTCCTGTGATGTTGCCCACACATGCCATCAGGGTGGCATGTGTTTCCATTGCTTTATGTAAATGTACACGAACTTAATAAAGCGAAATAGGGGTTGCAAGTCAAGTTATCAAATTTAGGTGTCCTTCAACAACTATTGAAACACTGCAGTTTTATTCAGCATTACTGTTCTTATTTATGCACTGGGCAAGTGTGCATGCTTACCAGAATTTTGTGAATTTTCAAAAATACATGTCAGATGCAACTGTAATTACCGGACAATCACTCTAGTGGATGTGCAACATTGCATGCAAAAGTGTGTCATCTTAACTTCCAGCACACTGAACAGTAGTCAAACCCAGTAAGAATATGTATGTGTGTACATAACACTGGTCTTTACCAAACTATTAAGATTTTAAAAAGATTTAGTCGATTTGAAACAGGTGTTTTCCTAATTTAGCTGTCCGAGTTCTAGCACTTGTGGGAGTGGACAGATTAACGAGAAAAACCTTGCATTACCTCTCAAAATAATTAACACCATGAACTTTGGGATGTACCCTATGCCCTAGGGTCCAAGGCAAAGTCACAACCCCTAAGGTCGTACAAGGGCAGCCTATGGGTGCAGACCACTAATTCAAGTGAGAATTTCTGGCCAGCTCATTTGCATTAAAAGTGCCCCCACTGTATTTTTTGAAAAAGGAGATTGTTTGGCCCCAAGAGTGGTGAGGTTGTGTAAATCGTTGCCAGGATCAACTCCTTGGGTCTTTGAGCTTTCATATGAGAGCAGAATGGCTAAAGCTGCGGTTGAAAAATGGTCCTAAGTGCC